AAAAAAGAATAAAATTATAACGTATACATTATTCATAAATCGAATTAAAAATTCCTGGCGCATTTAATAATATGGGAAAATATTAAATAATTAAACTGGGAGATAAATAAAACGTTGAAACCAGAAGCAATTCCAAAATTAAACGTTCTTTTGGCACGATTTACGAATTAAATCAATTTAATCACTTAAAGGGAATTCAAAACACCTAAACTATTAGATTACACATAAGATTTAGTTGAAAAATAACCAAACTTCATTCAGAATGGGGAATTACTTAAAAAAAAGAATATTTACGTTACTATAGGTATACATGAATAATATTTATATACACGCTTTTTCTAATTTATTTTTATATGGGGGTATATTGTTTTTGTCATTCCGTTTGTAACACATTGAAATATCCATCTAAGACCCATAAAAGTATATATATTCTGGGTCCTTATTAGATTCTAAGACGATCTAGCCATGTCCGTCCGTCTGTCCGTCTGTATGTCCGTCTGTCTGTTGAAAACACGATAGAGTCCAAACGGAAGTAGCTAGCGAGCTGAAATTTTGCATAGATACTTTTATTTGATGCAGTTTGTTTGGTATTGAAAATGGACAATATCGCTCCACGATTTCGCCTAGCCCCCATATAAGGCCCCCTTCAGAAAATTACTTTATTGCTCATAACTGTTTAAAAGAAGCATCAATATCGGTGAAATTCGGCACCAACACGTTTTATATGAACATAAATCTCTTTGTAAAATTTTAGAAGAATAGGCCCATAATTGACCCTACCCCCCATATAAAGTCCCCTTCACAAAATGACTTTAACGCTCGTAACTGTCTAAAAGAAACATCTATAGCGGTGGAATTCGACAGGAACATATTTTATAGGAACGTAAATCTCTTCGTAAAATTTTATAAGGATCGGTCCATAATTGACCCTACCCTCCATATAAGGTCCCCTTCAGAAAATGACTTTAGTGCTCATATCTGACCTTAAGAAGCATGTATAGCTATGAAATTCGACATAAAAAAGTTTTATAGGAACTAAAATCATTTTCATAAATTTTATGAGGATGGGTCCATAATTGAGCCTACCCCCATATAAGGTCCCCTTCAGAAAATGAGTTTATTTATAAGGAAGCATTCCTATTCGGCAATGTTTTGATGGTGGGTATACAAGATTCGGCACAGCCGAATATAACACTCTTACTTGTTGCTACTAAAATTGTCGGCTTATTTAGAAATTCATCAACAAAATCTTGTGTCTATAAACTGTTTATAAAACTGTATACATGAATAAAAATTATAGAATTAAATGTAACTTATTAAGAAATTGTACATAATATATGCGCAAAAAAAACAAACTTCTAATAATTATACAATTATCGAATACCAATTAAGCAAATAATTTGGTTAAAGATTATTCCATTTCATATGAACAATATAAAAAGCCAATTTAGTAGCTTTAAACAAATCAGTTCCATACACAATTTGGAGAACACCACATCGGCTGTCACTGTAAAAAAATGGATTATATTAAAATTTTAAGCATTTTACTTTTACTCATCGCCTGTACATGGGCGCACAAGAAAGGAGGTGGACAATCTCGTCCAGCACAGGTTGTCTTAGTGCCAGTTAAAGTACAATCTGCTCATCCTCCTCCCAGACCAGTTCATCCTAAACCTCAGCCAATAAAAGTGAAGCCAGTAATTGTTCCAGTTATTGTAAAGCCTGTAGTCGTTAAGCCCGGCAAACATCATCATCATAAACATTAATTGAAGAGTTATGTTTAAGTTTTTAGATTAATATATTAGCAGTTAGTTTCTTATTGCATAAATAAAATACTTATTTGACAAAGAACCCAATGTAACCACTCCAAGTGGGAGTCGAACTCAAGCCCGAAGAATATTCTATTAATAAGTAAATCTGAAATTTTATTTTTATGAATCTTTGCGATTTGGAGATTATTTTGAAAGCTTTCGATTTTTTGTCGAACATAATTTCGAATTTTCGAACAATTTTTAATAATCCTCATTCACCCTACACAAATTGGTTTTTCACTGACTTATTGGCAAAGACCAGCAATTTACTGACCCCAAAGGATCCTCATGCGATGCACTTTGGTGAACCGGCCTTACCTTGCTGTTTTTGCAAACCGGGGTGTTATAAACTGCAGGTGTCATTTTTTGGAGTGTTTTGACTGGGGATCTATTCAGAGAACCAAAAAATCGGGTACTATTACAGTCGGTTGCAAGCAGGATTCGTCCTGTATCGACTATTGGCGGAGGTCCATTCGGGGTATACGTAGTAGCTGTGGTTGAAACTTAAATGTTGGCTAAAAGACTGATGCACGATGAAATCAATATTTGGGGGATAAGTTTGGCGCTGTTGTCAAGACAACAGGATCCCTTAGAGGAGTGACTGTGGGACTAAATGATGTTAATGTGTTGATATCTAAAGATTAGGATAAACATATTCTGTGGGACTAAATGATGTTAATGTGTTAATATCAAAAGAATAGGATACGCCCTCATAAGGACATGTATTGCAACTTGCTCTTGAATGTGTTGGATTAAAGAGTTTTGTGATAGATTGAATGATGATGGAAGTAGGGTATCCTATTCATGTGTTATCGATTAAATTCCCATCTTTATTATGGTATGTAGAGGTTTATTCTGTTTACCCTGTAAGTACAAAGTCTTCGCTTATGGAGATCGTACTTCAGTCTACCAAATATGTAGATCTCTAGGTACTGTTGCCGAATCGACAAAGGCCATTCCATCAGTGTGGTTGTCGAGGTGTGTTTTAGATATCTTCTAATGAAGCAATGGTACCGCAATGGTCAGATATTTGATAGCTCAAGTCCTTAAGCAAGCCACCTGGGTGTTCTTTGTATGTCACAAAGGAGCGGTAGTGGGTCATCTCCAGCTCATACTTTGGTTGAAAAAGTATCACAGTAGGATTGGGCTACAAGACAGGTACTCAAGTAAAGAAATCGGATTTCAGATCCCAAAGACAACTCCCCCGGGGGAATGTTACCTTGGAGAAACTTCCCTTATCTGGGTGTTATTGCAAAACATCTGGAAAAGTACAAGAACAGTGGAATTACTGTGGCATAATATATTGGCGAATGAAATATTGTGCGTTTGTTGAAATGTTGGAACTAAGGAATGGTGCAACTCGGTAGTTGCTCCTTGATAATTGATTATTCTTTAATCTTTTGTTATATAAGCGGTTTTTCCTTTTCCGGTATGGGTATGTTTTGGAGTTTACTATAATCATGATTTCAGACATCTTCCAAAGAGATAGATAACAATGGTCAGAGGTTAGAAAGCACAAGTTCATAAGCATGTCATCGGTGGTTGATCGTCTCTAGCTTACACATTGGCTAAAAAAGTACTATCGTGGGATAGAGCTACACTCCAGATATTAACGTAAAGCTATCGGACTTTTGACTACAAAGACAACACCCACAGAGATTTGTATCTTTCCTCATCCTGGTGTTATTGTAATACCTCTAGAACAGTACAACAACAGTGAAGTCACTGTGACATAGTATGTTGGGGAATGAACTGATATTATAAAGGTTGGCTGTAGGAGTTGTATGAATGACGGATGATGTTGGTTGCTGTGGAGTGGTGCAGTTTTTTGGTGGTTGCTGGTTGATATTTGGTGATCTTTAAAACAACAACAGGTTACGCGGTCTTTAGAGGTTGAAGAATGTGCTGGGGTTGTTCTCTGTCATTTCATCGAAATTATAACCAAATATTCAAAATATTAAATTTTCTTCCTGTATCAAGGAAATAAGATTTGTCATTTATAAAGAAGCAGGATTTCCGTCTACCAATCATATGTCTCAAGCTGCTGTTGGGGAAACAATAGAGTCATCTCGGCAGTGTGGTTGCGCGCTCTTTAAAATGTTGAAGAATACCCTGGGGTCATTCTCTCTTATTGCTAGGATTTCGTCGAAATTAGAATCAAATATTCAAAATATTACATCGGTTAAGAATTCTGATTGGAAATTTTTTGATTTTATATAATGGAAACTGAGTTTTTGAACATCACACGACCATCATAGATAGGTATATAAGATTTTTGTACCAATATTTTCCATGCGAATGGTGGGATCTAATCTGATGTACATAACTTCACTTATATCCTAGAAATATCACAAACAATCCATGAAAAGTCAGAGACTACCACATCTTACCGATCAAGATCAATAATCTTTGGTCCAAACCAGTCTTAAGAAAATCTGGTAAAATATCCACTTGATAATTCTGTTACCGAATTGCAACATTATCTACTGAAAATAGGAAGGCATTTTGACGCATTTTAATATAGACAGATTAAACTCGAAAACAGTTACTGAATCGGGAATTTTCTCAACAATCTTGGACCTGTATAATTTCGAAAAATAAGATTGGAGCACAAATTTGATAGTAGTAAAACTAAAAATTTCACCCTTCAATATAAAACGGAACAGAACTAAATCACAATTTTGAAATCGAATAATGTTTACCGGGATGAAGGGAGAAGTTATACTTTTTGCTCCTAGATCTAACAAATATGATGAAATTTCGTATAAGATGGGGAATTACTTAATAAAAAATTTACTTTTATTATTAGAAATAATTAACATTATAAATATAAACGTGATTTATAAGTGTTATATTTAGTAACAGTTATTACAACTGACTTTTCAATCGAGGTAATAACTCATCTCTAGTAACTATACCTAATATTTATTCACGTTTTTTGCCATTTAAATTGTCGGCTTATTTAGAATGTTATTCCCAAAATAGTTTGAACAAACTGTTTAAAAACCTGTATGCGCGAGTAAAAAACTTTAAAAATGCAACTTATTAAGAAATTACACATAATATATACAACAAATTATTGTAATAATTAAACAATTATTGGATATCAATTAAGCAAACAATTTTCAAGAAAAGTTTACAATATAAAAGTTAATTCAGTGGATTAAATAAGTTAGTTTAATACGCGATTTAGAGGACGCCACATCTAATACCACTGTAAATATGGATTATATTAAAATTTTGAAAGTGTTACTTTTACTCATCGCATATGCTAGCGCGTCGCCGACTTTTAGGAAGAAAGGTGGTCAGACCCATCCTGTGTATGTTCAGCAACAACCAACATATGTCCAGGCAGAACCTGTACATCCTGCACCTCAAGTCGTTTACCAGCCAGTGCAAGTACAACCCGTCCATCCGCCGCCACCTCAAATTATTGTACAACCGGTTAGAGTACAACCTGTGCACCCCCCACCAAGGCCAGTACAACCTGCACATCCACCACCAATGCCAGTACACCCTGTGCAACCACCACCAAGACAAATTATCATACAACCAATTAGAGTTCAACCTGTCCGACCACCACCAACACAAATCATTATACAACCAGTTAGAGTACAGCCAGCGCACCCACCTCCAAGACCTGTGCAACCTGTACATCCACCACCAAGACCTGTACATCCACCACCAAGACCTGTACATCCACCACCTCGACCTGTGCATCCACCACCACAACCAGTCCATCCACAACCGGTCCATCCTCAGCCAGTTATTGTAAAACCTATATCTTAAAACCTGTATTGTTAACCTGGAAAACATCATCATTAACCTTAATTAAATATTTAAGATTTGTATTAGCCTAATTGCGTATTTGGGGATCTACATTTAGGATTTTTATATATAAATCAATTTGGGGTGGGAAATAAAGATGATCGCAGATTTTGGGTTTTTCATGCAGAAGTCGATTTTTTGTGGAAATGACTAGACTATAGCTAGACTATAGACTAGACTATAGACTAGACTATAGACTAGACTATAGACTAGACTAAGACTAGACTATAGGACTAGACTATAGACTAGACTATAGACTAGACTATAGACTAGACTATAGACTAGACTAAGACAGACTATGACTAGACTATAGACTAGACTATAGACTAGACTATAGACTAGACTATAGACTAGACTATAGACTAGACTATAGCTAGACTATAGTCTAGACTATAGACTAGACTATAGACTAGACTATAGACTAGACTATAGACTAGACTATAGACTAGACTATAGACTAGACTATAGACTAGACTATAGACTAGACTATAGACTAGACTATAGACTAGACTAGACTAGACTATAGACTATAGACTAGACTATAGACTAGACTATAGACTAGAATATAGACTAGACTATAGACTAGACTATAGACTAGACTATAGACTAGACTATAGACTAGACTATAGACTAGACTATAGACTAGACTATAGACTAGACTATAGACTAGACTATAGACTAGACTATAGACTAGACTATAGACTAGACTCTAGACTAGACTATAGACTAGACGATAGACTAGACTATAGACTAGACTATAGACTAGACTATAGACTAGACTATAGACAGAACTATAGACTAGACTATAGACTAGACTATAGACTAGACTATAGACTAGACTATAGACTAGACTATGACTAGACTATAGACTAGACTATAGACTAGACTATAGACTAGACTATAGACTAGACTATAGACTAGACTATAGACTAGACTATAGACTAGGACTATATGACTAGACTATAGACTAGACTATAGACTAGACTATAGACTAGACTATAGACTAGACTATAGACTAGACGATAGACTAGACTATAGACTAGACTATAGACTAGACTATAGACTAGACTATAGACTAGACTATAGACTAGACTATAGCTAGACTATAGACTAGACTATAGACTAGACTATAGACTAGACTATAGACTAGACTATAGACTAGACTATAGACTAGACTATAGACTAGACTATAGACTAGACTATAGACTAGACTATAGACTAGACTATAGACTAGACTATAGACTAGACTATAGACTAGACTATAGACTAGACTATAGACTAGACTATAGACTAGACTATAGACTAGACTATAGACTAGACTATAGACTAGACTATAGACTAGACTATAGACTAGACTATAGACTAGACTATAGACTAGACTATAGACTAGACTATAGACTAGACTATAGACTAGACTATAGACTAGACTATAGACTAGACTATAGACTAGACTATAGACTAGACTATACTAGACTATAGACTAGACTATAGACTAGACTATAGACTAGACTATAGACTAGACTATAGACTAGACTATAGACTAGACTATAGACTAGACTATAGACTAGACTATAGTCTAGACTATAGACTAGACTATAGTCTAGACTATAGACTAGACTATAGACTAGACTATAGACTAGACTATAGACTAGACTAGACTAGACATAGACTAGACTATAGACTAGACTATAGACTATAGACTATACTATACTAGACTATAGACTAGACTATAGACTAGACTATAGACTAGACTATAGACTAGACTATAGACTAGACTATAGACTAGACTATAGACTAGACTATAGACTAGACTATAGACTAGACTATAGACTAGACTATAGACTAGACTATAGACTAGACTATAGACTAGACTATAGACTAGACTATAGACTAGACTATAGACTAGACTATAGACTAGACTATAGACTAGACTATAGACTAGACTATAGACTAGACTATAGACTAGACTATAGACTAGACTAGACTAGACTATAGACTAGACTATAGACTAGACTATAGACTAGACTATAGACTAGACTATAGACTAGACTATAGACTAGACTATAGACTAGACTATAGACTAGACTATAGACTAGACTATAGACTAGACTATAGACTAGACTATAGACTAGACTATAGACTAGACTATAGACTAGACTATAGACTAGACTATAGACTAGACTATAGACTAGACTATAGACTAGACTATAGACTAGACTATAGACTAGACTATAGACTAGACTATAGACTAGACTATAGACTAGACTATAGACTAGACTATAGACTAGACTATAGACTAGACTATAGACTAGACTATAGACTAGACTATAGACTAGACTATAGACTAGACTATAGACTAGACTATAGACTAGACTATAGACTAGACTATAGACTAGACTATAGACTAGACTATAGACTAGACTATAGACTAGACTATAGACTAGACTATAGACTAGACTATAGACTAGACTATAGACTAGACTATAGACTAGACTATAGACTAGACTATAGACTAGACTATAGACTAGACTATAGACTAGACTATAGACTAGACTATAGACTAGACTATAGACTAGACTATAGACTAGACTAGACTAGACTATAGACTAGACTATAGACTAGACTATAGACTAGACTATAGACTAGACTATAGACTAGACTATAGACTAGACTATAGACTAGACTATAGACTAGACTATAGACTAGACTATAGACTAGACTATAGACTAGACTATAGACTAGACTATAGACTAGACTATAGACTAGACTATAGACTAGACTATAGACTAGACTATAGACTAGGCTATAGACTAGAGAAAATATTTATGATCACAAATTTTCACCATGTTCTCAATTGGAGTGTTATTGCATAATCTACAACCGATTTAAAGTTTCTTATATAAACAAGTATAAGTATGTTATTATTTGTAAATTACTTTAAAATTTTATATTTTCTTTAAATTAATACAATAGTAAAAAAAGCTTTTTTTATTGTAAATTGATAGTAAATACATATGTGTACAATTGACTGAATTAGGTTACGCTTTAAAGTACCACTGTACGTATACTTCATATTGAATTAAGACATAAAACAGCAGCAAATTTACGTAATGAAATGTCAAACAATTGCAATTCTTTCAATTGTCAATGCATATGGCTAAATGAAATACAAATGAAACTTTTCAAAGTAAAATTCTAATTCAGATGATTAGAGACAACTTCTGTATTAACCCATTGAAAAAAATTACAACCCTTAAGAAATAAGCGTAACAGTAATTGCATACTTTTAGGTATAGTATGAGTACATATCATTATCACTATCATCATCACCATCAGCAAGCATTGATGATAATCGTTTTAACTACAACTAATGATAATAATCAATGTTTGTATAACATTGTCTATGGAAAAAAGGATATTTATTTTAACATTTTCATAATCATATCATATTGTTTGGCTGACTGTTTTATCGCCAATTTGCTAAATAACAAAACAAATGTATTCTTTTGATAGGGTTATAACTGTTATTATGTATTGTTAAATTTCGATTGTTCCGTTAGTATGATGTTTGAAAACTTGCGCTGTTTTAATATTGTTTCTTTTACTTTATTTTCCAGCTCATGATAGTATAAATATTAGAACAAATTCTTAGGAATTATCATAACGTTATCAGCTCTCGTAGAGAACTAAGCCAACTTCCAACTTAGGACAACTACTTTGAAAAGTTTCTGTGTTTTAACCAGTTTGAATACTACTAAACTCAACAACAATGGTAAGTTTGAAAATTTTTATTTTTTTTTTGTACTATCAGCAAAATTAACATTTTATCTAGAAAAAGGATAAAAGTTTTAAAATAACCAGTGCATTAAATTTAAATTTTAAAATATATATTTTTTTGAATTGAGAGAAGAATTACGAAATACAAATATTTTGAATTTATTGCGTTGATAAACTAGAAATAAAAATATTCCTAGTTCAGTTGTAATTCTAGTTCAGTTCTAGTTGAGTTCTAGTTCAGTTCTAGTTCAGTTCTAGTTCAGTTCTAGTTCAGTTCTAGTTCAATTCTAGTTCAGTTCTAGTTCAGTCCTAATTCAGTTCTAGTTCAGTTCTAGTTCAGTTCTAGTTCAGTTCTAGTTCAGTTTTAGTCAGTTCTAGTTCAGTTCTCTAGTTCGTTCTAGTTCTAGTTCTAATTCAGTTCAGTTCTAGTTCAGTTCTAATTCAGTTCTAGTCAGTTCTAGTTCAGTTCTAGTTCAGTTTCTAGTTCAGTTCAAGTTCAGTTCTAGTTCAATTCAGTTTCAGTTTCTCGTTCAGTTCTAGTTCAGTTCTAGTTCAGGTTCTAGTTCAGTTCTAGTTCAGTTCTAGTTCAGTTCTAGTCAGTTATAGGTCAGTTCGTAGTTCAGTTCTAGTTCAGTTCTAGTTCAGTTCTAGTTTTCAGTTCTAGTTCAGTTCTAGTTCAGTTCTAGTTCAGTTCTAGTTCAGCTTCTTAGTTCAGTTCTAGTTCAGTCTAGTTCATATTAGTTTCAGTTCTAGTTCAGTTCTAGTTCAGTTCTAGTTCAGTTCTAGTTCAGTTCTAGTTCAGTTCTAGTTCAGTTCTAGTTCAGTTCTAGTTCAGTTCTAGTTCTAGTTCAGTTCTAGTTCAGTTCTAGTTCAGTTCTAGTTCAGTTCTAGTTCAGTTCTAGTTCAGTTTCTAGTTCAGTTCTAGTTCAGTTCTAGTTCAGTTCTAGTTCAGTTCTAGTTCAGTTCTAGTTCAGTTCTAGTTCAGTTCTAGTTCAGTTCTAGTTCAGTTCTAGTTCTAGTTCAGTTCTAGTTCAGTTCTAGTTCAGTTCTAGTTCAGTTCTAGTTCAGTTCTAGTTCAGTTCTAGTTCAGTTCTAGTTCAGTTCTAGTTCAGTTCTAGTTCAGTTCTAGTTCAGTTCTAGTTCAGTTCTAGTTCAGTTCTAGTTCAGTTCTAGTTCAGTTCTAGTTCAGTTCTAGTTCAGTTCTAGTTCAGTTCTAGTTCAGTTCTAGTTCAGTTCTAGTTCAGTTCTA